GGTATCTCCAAAATTGTCTGTTGGGTTGGCATGAATCGAGACTAGGATTTGTCACTCCGTATGATGGAGAGGTATCTCTGGGCCCACTCGGTAATGCATCATCATAATGAGCTCAATGTGACTAAGTAGTTAGTCACGGGATCATGCATTACGGAACGAGTAAAGTGACTTGCCGGTAACGAGATTGAACGAGGTATTGGGATACCGACGATCGAATCTCAGGCAAGTAACATACCGATTGACAAAGGGAATTGTATACAGGATTGATTGAATCCCCGACATCGTGGTTCATCCGATGAGATCATCGTGGAACATGTGGGAGCCAATATGGGTATCCAGATCCCGCTATTGGTTATTGGCCGAAGAGGTATCTCGGTCATGTCTGCATGGTTCCCAAACCCGTAGGGTCTACACACTTAAGGTTCGGTGACGCTAGAGTTGTTATGGGAAATAGTATGTGGTTACCGAAGGTTGTTTGGAGTCCCGGATGAGATCCCAGACATGGCGAGGAACTCTGGAAAGGTTCGAAGGTGAAGATCGGTATATTGGACGAAGGGTATTGGAGTCCGGAATTGTTCGGGGGTACCAGGTGATGACCAACGTGTCCGAAAGGTGTTTTGGAGGCCCCGACAAGCGTTGGGGGGCCTTATGGGCCAAGGGGAGGGGGCACATCAGCCCACTAAGGGGTTGAGCGCCCCTCCCACCCCATCTCACGTAACCTGGAGAGGTGGGGGCGCCACCCCTAGGGCAGCCACCCCTCCCGGCTTGGGGGGGAAGTTTCCTAGGGGGTGGGGCGCCCAAACCCATCTAGGGTTTCCCCTGGCCGCCGCCCCTCCTCTAGATCCATCTAAAGGGACCGGCCCCTCTCCCCTTTCCCCTATATATAGTGAGGGGGTGGGAGGGCAGCCACAACCCTTGCCCCTGGCGCAGCCCTCCCCCTCTCCAACTCCACCTCCTCCTCAGTAGTGCATGGCGAAGCCCTGCCGGAGAACTGCAAGCTCCACCACCACGCCGTCGTGCTGCCGGAGCTCTCCCTCAACTTCTCCTCTCCCCATGCTGGATCAAGAAGGAGGAGACGTCCCTGGGCTGTACATGTGTTGAACGCGGAGGTGCCGTTCGTTCAGTGTTAGATCGGATCTTCCGCGATTTGAATCACCGCGAGTACGACTCCCTCATCCGCATTCTTGCAATGCTTCCGCATCGCGATCTTCAAGGGTATGAAGATGCACTCCCCTCTCTCTCGTTGCTAGAATCTCCATAGATTGATCTTGGTGATGCGTAGAAAATTTTGAATTTCTGCTACGTTCCCCGACAGGCTTCAGTTAGCAGCAGTAGTGAAGGAATCGCTCGATCGGGTTTAGTTAACAGCCATCGATCGATCGCTCGGGTTCACTGACGCGTAGCCTGCAGTGCAATCGCTCGGGTTCAGTTAGAGCCCAATGCCTCGCTCGGGTTCAGTTAGAGCCAATGCCTCGCACACACGCGCATATGTGTACGAGAGAAACACGCATCGCTCGGCCCTCGACCACCCACCGTAACCGGGAACTCCCCGAAATTTTCCTCGCCCTCACTTCTATCATGGTTTTTTCCGTCATGGATGGCCCAAAGAATGTCATGCAGCTGCGTCTCCGGCCTGCCCAGGACAAAAATCCCATTTTGTGTCATGATTTTTTGTCATAGAAGTAGGAGCCCACCACATCTATGATGATACCGGGTTTTGTCACAATTATCATCATAGAAGTGTCATATGTATGACAGAATTTTTTTTCATTCGGCCCAAAATGTCATGGATGTGTCTTTTTTTTGTAGTGAGGATTGAGCATTGTATTGCAACATCTTCAATTCTTCCACGATAGCTTCACGATTTGGTTCTATCCCATCGAAGAATTCACCTTGCAAACCAATATACACACAATAGCCCAAACGGCGGGATTATGTCCAAAAATGTGCATTTTCATTTTATGTTTCCAACTAGCAAAATTAGTACCATCACAGTAAGGACCTCTACGGTGGTAGTTTCCCTCGCTAGACGTCATACTCTCCTAGGTTGTGAAACCAAGGCTATGATCACCAAAGCTATAGAAATCAAGGAAAATGGAGACCAAAGCTCTGATACCACTTGTAGGATCGAAAGTAAGTCTGGGGGTGATTAGACTACTTGACCAAATTAATAAAAACTTAACCTTTTCCCAATTTTAATTCTTGGCAGATTTTAGCAACTTAGCACTAGTCAAGCAATCTCAACACAATTCCAGCAAGCATGCAAAGAGTATATGAGCAGCGAAAAGTAAAGCATGCAACTTGCAAGAAGATAAATGGGAGGAGTTGGAAAGGAGCAAACGCAATGTTGAATCGGAGATTTTTGGCGTGGTTCCGATAGGTGGACCCATGAAGGGTAACAGCTGCGGGAGTCCACGGAGGGCTCCACCCACGAAGGGTCCACGAAGAAGCAACCTTGTCTATCCCACCATGGCCATCACCCACGAAGGAGTTGCCTCACTTGGGTAGATCTTCACGAAGTAGGCGATCTCCTCGCCCTTACAAACTTCTTGGTTTAATTCCACAATCTTGACGGAGGCTCCCAAGCGAAACCTAACCAATCTAGGAGACACCACTCTCCAAAAGGTAATAGATGGTGTGTTGATGATGAACTCCTTGCTCTTGTGCTTCAAATGATAGTTTCCCCAACACTCAACTCTCTCTCACAGATTTGGCTATGGTGGAAAGATTATTTGAGTGATAAGCAACTTGGGAAAGGCTAGAGATCAAGATTCATATGGTTGGATTGGAATATCTTGGTCTCAACACATGAGTAGGTGGTTCTTTCTCAGAAAATGAGTAGTGAAAGTGTAGGCACGTTCTGATGGCTCTCCTCATGAATGAAGAGTGGGTGGAGGGGTATATATAGCCTCCACACATCTAACCGTTACACACAGATTCCCAAACTCAGTGGGACCGAATCATGAAACTCGGTCAGACCGATTCAGGTCAAAATATGAATGTTAGGATTTTTGGTGGGACCGATACAGTCAACTCGGTGGAACCGATTTGCTAGGGTTAGGGCATAACATAATCTCAGTGTGACCGATCACATTAACTCGGTGGGATCGATTTTATTAATAGGCACATTGAGAGTTGGTCATGAAAACTCGGTGGGACCGATTCGCTCCTTCGGTGAGACCGAAGTGTTACAAAAGGAAACGGTGAGTTTGCATTGTAGACTTGGTGGGACTGATTCGCTCATTTCGGTGGGACCGAAATGTTACAAAAAGGAAACAGTGAGTTTGCAATCCCATCTCGGTGAGACCGAGATCCCTATCGGTGAGACCGAAGTGACTAGGGTTTGTGGCAGTGGCTATGTCAAATGAGACTCGGTGGCGCCGGGTAGATCAAATCGGTGGGGCCGAATTTGACTTTTAGGTTTGGGACATATGTGGAAATGAAAAAGTGGTTGAGGGTTTTGGAGCATGTCACTAAGAAATTTGAGCAAGAAATCCATTAAGCAACACCTCATCCCCTTTTAATAGTATTAACTTTTCTATGGACTCAATGTGATCTTGGATCACTTAAATAAAAAAGTAGAGCCTTGAACTTGTTGCCAATATGTATCCTTTGCATTTGAGGGGTCCACATCTCTAGTCCATGCCATGCCAATATTGAACTCTCTGAAATGATCATCTTGAAAGAGCATTAGTTCAATGAGCTATATGTTGTTAAGAATTACCAAAACCATCCAGGGATTAGTTACACTTTCAAATACTCAAACCACTCACCTAAGCCTATCATCAAAAGCCGGAAGCCCCAGCCAAGCCACATACCAAGTCTGGAGCACAAATCTTTCTGACGCACTCACATGTGTCGTCGCCGCCATCTTCCATAGGCCTGTCTTCAGAGCAGATATTGAGGCTTCTACCTTGTGAGGCCACTCTGCCATCGACGCCACCATGAAGCCAGACAGTGTCCTCCTCCTGCGCGAGTCCATCTCCAAGCATCGGACGCCAAGTCTCCACTGCACCACGCCACCGAGATCGGCCGCCATCAATGTTTAAGATGAAGCACCGCTCACCAAAGAAACCAACCACCGTTCCCTCGAGTCCGTGTACACCTCTTGGAATGACGCCCGAAACAAGAGCGCCGCCATCATCCGATCTACTGATTTAGGGTTTCCCCCGGAGGTAGCAGATAGCTGTCTTGAACTTCTCCTTGGCGATGCCTTCAAGAAGGAAACGCCGCATAACAGGGCCATCACCGCGGGCCTTGGCCAGGTTTTCACTCGGATCTGAACAGAGGACCTCCATCAAGCAACTTGTACACGAACCGCAGCCATCGCTGCTGGGGACTGGGCGCAGAATCCAGGCCGCCGCCGCCTGACCGGCCATGGCACCACCATGGTGCCTAGGCCGGCGTCGTCAGGCCCACCATGCCCGCCTGTAGACGCTCACCAGATCCGCCGGCCCGCCGAAGCCCATCTGGGTACGTCGAGATCCGCGATCTAGGCCGCCGCCATAGGGGCTCCTCTGCCGAGGTATTGCGCCTGCGCTGACGCCCTGTCACACTCGCCGTCAGGAACCCGCCGCTCCACGCCGCCGGTGCCCCGCAGTTCCATGCGCTGTCGCCGCCAGGGGAAGACGCAGCCGCCACGCGAGGGGAAAAGCCCCGCCACCGCCATCACTGGCCAGGCTACGAGCGTGGCCTCCGGCGACGGCAGGGGAGAGAGGATGAGGGAGGAGGCCTTTGGGCCGGCAGCAGCAGATCACCCCCCGTGTCGCCTAGGTTAGGCGAAGCGGGGGCAGGCTTGATTGATGGCTTCAATCATATAAAGCAGAAGTGAATCTTACTCGCAAAAAGGAATTGTTTTAAAGAAAAAACAGAGCAAAAGTGATCCACGTGGTGCTCATAATTAATCGATTCGCCCGTGTTGTTTAACGATGACGCCAGCATGTACCTACTATACAAGTCTACAACACACAAGTTGCAACGTCGGCAGTTCAAAAACACCACTAGGCGGGAGCGGGACGCCGGCGGTGGCTTTTCCTGAGCCCAAGCACGCCGAGCAGCGCCCTCATGATGCCACCCGCCGCCGCCGTCCAGGACGACTTCCTCCCCTTCCGCTGGAACGGCGACTGGTACGACGGCGGCGGTGAGAGGGGAGGAAGCAGCATCGCCGCCCCACGGATGGGCGACTCCGCGTCCCTCTTTGGCGTGCCGGGCGCGGACTCCCACAGGAACGGCACGGCGCCGGCGCGCAGGCTGTAGTACACCCTGAAGGACGCGTTCGTGAGGCTCGACCGCTCGCTCAGCGACGCCGCCCTGCCGTCGCCGCCGCAGCCTCTCTCGGCGGCGTTCGGCCGGAGCGCGGGCTGCTGCTTCGAGCCCATCCCTGCTATGCCGCAGAGAGCGTGGCCCGTGGTGTTTTATACGTGGCGAGGCCTCTGGACGCGGGAGCTGCTGGAAGGAGAGCTTGGGTTTAATAATGGATTGAGGTACTACGAGAGTGTGAGCTGCAAGCCTACGTTTTGTTAATGACCGACTACAGGCCTGCATCCACTAGTAATGACCAGCTGACGCTGCACCGTCAGATTGGTCATGATTAATTTGTTTCTTGAAGCTTTACTGCTTAACAATCACGATTTATTTCTCCAGTTCTGTCTAGTACTACTACTGTACCACTTACTTTCTGATAATGCACCTCACCTAAAGCACAGCAAAATGGATTGATAAGAGACAGGTGAATCAATCGCCCAACTGACCAAGTGAAAGCCACCCGGCCGGACCAAGTCGTAAAAGAAGAGGAATTTGTAGGTAGTAGCTCGCCCGAAGCTTTTGTCTGATGCTGAACTTGCTGCCCGTGCCATGAATCCTTCTGATCCAAGTGGAAGAGAGGTACCGTTTCAATGCTGCAGCAGGTTAGGTTAGCTAACCTTAGTATTTGACTGGTTGATTACTGCGAGTTATGGTCAAGTTAAGCAGGGAACCTTCAGCTCCAAGTCAGAAATCGACATTCACCAAATCTATTGTGGCCTTTATTACTTGAATGCCAAGATCTCCAAAATTAACTACAATATATGTTCCCTAGTTATTTGATCTCGTTTTGACAAGGATTCTGGAACATAAATAGATTCCTGTTGTTTGACTTTCCAACAGCTCATATCAAATAAAACATGGCATATTTTAGCTATCAAACAAACAAGCACGCTAGCACACCTCTTGTTAAATAAGAACATAAAAAGACAATGTAAAATATTGCTTCGATTGACAATCATGAACCAACTAAACACCTATTGTCTGACTGTAACTCTGAAATATTTCTAAGATTGTTGGGGCTGCACAACAACAATAAGATGCACCAGGACATGATAAATGTGCACACCACAACCACTACCAAATTGTAATGAACTTCATGTAGAGCTTCAATCAACAAGAAAGCAGTGGGATACTAAAATAATATGCACAATTGACGAATGTGATTTATGTCAGAGAACCTTGAGACGAGGAGGAAAAAACCAAGGAACCAACCATCCCACTTCTTCCACCATAACAAAGTAACGGGTACACAGAGTTACTCTCTAGAATCTCTAGACAACGACAACAACAACAAAAATTGCCTGAATCTTTGTATCGCAATTTAGTCGTCTGGCAAGAGGGGTACCGTTTTCTCACGTGCTTGACTACCTCTCTCATAGTGTTACTTGTTAGCAAATGACACGACAGGTTAGGTTATCTAACCTAGTGATTGATTGATTGATTGCTACAAGTTATGGTTAAGTTAACCAGAGAGCCTCCAACTCCAAGCCAGGAATCAACACCCATCAAATCGGGGCCTTTAATTGAATGCAAACATCTCAAAACTAAATCATGGAATAATTAAACATGCATTATTTGGCTATAATTTTAAAGCATTTCTAAATGCCTAGAAAAGATTGTTCGGGTTATATAGTAATAGTGTGATGTACCAGTCCAAGACAAATATGCACAACACCCCCCCCCCCTCAAATTGTAGTAAAACATTGAAGAGGGCTTTAACCAACAAATAAGCAACGAAAATACAAAATAACATGCACATGTGATTTATGTAGAAAAATTTCCTTGCCAGTTGAGATGATGTGTAAAAACCACAAGGCCAACCTGTCCACTTCATCTCTAGAAAACAACAATAACCACAAATTCATGAGCTTTTTTTTTCAAAATCGATGATCTTTTTCAATCCTAATATTTTTACGAAATCCATGAACATTTTCAAATTGTGGTCTCTTTTTCAAAGTTTATGAACTTTTTCCAAATCTGAGATTTGTTTTTCAAAATTGATGAACTTTTTTATAATTTGATGATATATTTTAAATCAATAACTTTTCCCCATACCTTTTGATTTATTGTTAAAAAATCAATGAGTTGTTTAGGAATCCATGAACTTTTTGTCAGAACTTTTTTCAAGTTCGTGCTGAACTTTTTCAAAATCAAGGAACTTTTTTTCAAATTAATGAACTTCCTTAAAATTGTAAACATTTCTTAAAAAATGGTGCACTCTTTCATTTCTTGAAATTTTTAAAACTTTATAATTTTTTGGCTATATGATCTTTTTTTCACGAATTTATGGTTTTTTGTGAACTTTTATGTAAAAGTCAACTGGCAACAACCTGGCCAGTGGTCCATTGTCATGGTCAAAAGTCAACCAGCAATCCGGGATCCAGCGACGAGCAACGAGCGAGCGCTTGTGTATTATGGGCCGGCCAAACTTCCATCCGTGCGAGCGCTGACTGGCTTATTGGCACAGAAGCCACGGTATAGGAGGTCCCATACGCTAGGGCTATATGTTCCATGTACTGATTCCTAAAAGGAATCACCTACGGGCGACAATAGCATGCCGACCCATTTCCACGCGCGTAGGTTCGGTCTGCTCATACCGGTCACTTCAGGTCCAGTTTACTATGTTTTTTTTCTTCTTTATATTTTTCTTTTGTTTTATTTGATTTTACCGAGTTTCCTCACCTTTCATTTTTCTCTCCATTTTGCTTTGGTTTTCTTTGTTTTCTTTTTTTTGTTTTTTCTTTCTTTTCTTTGTTATACTTTGTTTTTCTTCTGTTTCTTTCTTGTTTTCTTTTTTTGCTTTTCTTTTGTTTCTTTGATGGTTTTATTGGTTTTCTTGTCACTTTTGTTTTCTACTTTTCAACACATATCTATATTTTCCATATGTATTGTACTTTTTTACACACATTTCCAAATACATTATTACCATTTTTAATATATGATTGATGTCTTCTTCTTGTTCATACATGTTGTGCATTTTTTTAATATACATATAAAAATCCTTTTATAAATGTTTCACATTTTTCAAATACATTTTTTCCAAAAACATGCTTTGAACATTTTTTCCAATACGTGTTAAACATTTTTTAAAATACACATTGGAACATTTTTAGTGACAAAACATTTAACTATGCAACCTTTTTTTTACATTGCACAAACAATTTCCTGAAAATGTCTTGAACACATTTTTTAGTGTAACACATTTTTTATCGAATATAAACAAGTGAAAAATAAAGAAAACACGAAATGAAAAATGTCAATAAAAGGAAGGAAAATAAAACAAGAAAAGTGACATGACGTCAACAGGCGAGCCGCGCCTTACTGAGCAGCCCAATACGTGATGCCCTGCAGGCCAGCCGTGGTAGGGCTGGCTGCGGGCGGCACATAGCAGCGCCCATGGCCATACACGAATGAACTTCTTTTTTAGGGAATCGTACCCGTGAACCAGTCGCATACTTCAAGCTAGGCCTAGTCATTTGTCACGCTGGGATTTTTCCAACCCGGGCTTTAAAAATCCCGACCTACTACAAGAAACAGGTTACTCTCAAAAAATGTTCTAAAAAATGTTACTCCAAGAAAAGCTACAACAAGTTTCAACATCGAGCAGTCAAAAGACACGCCGAGGCGGGACTCTGGTCGTGGCTTTTCCTGAGCCCAAGCATACCGAGCAGCGCCCTCACGATGCCTCCCACCGACGAACTCCTCCCCTTCCACTGGAACGGCGACGGTGGCGGCGAGAGGGGCGGAAGCAGCATCTTCGGCCCCAGGTGGACAACCACCCACTGTAAATGTCCGTGTTGACGCTGGGTGGTGGTCGGTTTGGTGGCGAGCTCCAGAGTGCCTGAGGTGGAGGATGGGATCAGGAAAAATCCCTGTTGGCTTGGCCGACACCGACGCCGTGGCGCCTGAGGGTACCACCGGACCTTCCTGGAGGGCGTCGGGGCTACCCTTCCTCTCTCCCCACCGTGTACCGGGGGAATCCCTTGGCAGCAGCATCGTCATCTTCGCGTCCCTTCTTTTTGTGAATACGCAAAGCTTGCGTATCTTTTCATTGATAGATAGAAGGAGAATGAGTACAACCAAGGATACAACACATGACATGAACGCCAGGAGGCATGCACATGGTACCCGGAGCAGAGAGAAGGGGTGCTCAGCCCGAACAGGGAGAAACACACAGCTAAACCCACCGAGCCTAAAACTAGAGTAGCAGACCAAAAGAGCACAACATCGAACATATTCAATTCCAACACTGGGGACTCCACGAGCGAGCAAGATAGCGCCTTCAAGAAGGGGAACGCCGTCGTGACGCCGTCGTCATCCGGTCCGAAAAGCCGGACCTAGGGTTTCCCCTGATGCTCGAAGAGGGGCTCGAAAAAAGGTCATGACAACGCCTCCAGGAAGGGAAATGACATCCACGGGTGTCGCCACTGCCAGCATCAAGCATGGCTTTCACCTGGCCTTGAGTCCGAGCAATCCCATATCCGCCAGATCAGGACGCGAAGATGCAAGAGTAAACATGCATGTCGACCGCTACCTCAGAAGGAGGGTGGGGCTGCACCTGCCATCGGCAAAAACGCGAGCTTTGCAATTGGTGCCGTGTAGGTGGACGGGGTTGAAGAGGCAGCGGGGCAGAGAGTCGACACGGATGGTAGGATGGCGACCAGCGCCACCGGCAAACTGGAGCCGGAAGGAAACACAACTCCGTGTTGCTGGAGGCGTAGCCACCAGGACGCCGGTGAACCGAAGATGCTGGAAGGGGCGCAGCAACCGGTCAATCGGGGCCGAGACCGCGCCAGTGGGGACGCCAGCAGACCATGGACACTGAAGAACGCAGGTCCATGGACGCCGGGACTGGAGCAGTGCCGACAAAGAACCACCATGAAACTTCAGCCGCCTGCCAAAGGACGCCGCGACCACACAAACACAAGTCGTCGCGTCCCTTCTTGGAGGTGTTGATTGGTACCGGCGCTTCGGAGTCTCGAAGCTTGGGGGGGAGGGGGGGCGATTTCCGGTGGACGCAACGGTCGCGAGGCTCCGTCGTTTTTGTCGATCCGCCGTTATCGGCATTTCTTTTTTTTTCTTTTTTTCTTTTTCTTTTTTTTGGACGTGATTGTGCTGCTTCCGCCGCAGCACCTATCGTTGGTTGTATTGGATGATCACTTTGTAATAAGGGGGGACCTTTTTCTTAAAATGGCGGAACAAACCAAAAACCATGCAGCAACCCATTTGACATTTGTTGCAAGGTTTTCAGTTTGTCACATAAAAGAAGCCAAGATGGACACGACCATGAACAATAATAGAGAGCACATAATGCCCGTACTGTATGCATTAAGAAAAATCTAAAACCAAAGAGCTTTTAATTGCTACTCGTACTAGTGATGTTTAACGATCAGTCGCCTTTCCAGAAATCAAGAGTGTACGTACTACAGCAGACAGGTTGCAACGTCGGCAGTTCAAAGACATGACATGTCGGGGCGCCGGCGCGACCGGCGGTGTCTCTTCCTGAGCCCAAGCACGCCAAGCAATGCCCTCACAATGCCTCCCGGCGTCGCCGTCCAGGACGGCCTCCTCCCCTTCCCATGGAACGGCGACTGGTACGACGGCGGCGGCGAGGGGGGCGGAGGCAGCACCGTAGCAACACCAGCGTCGGCAGCTCCGCCGCTGGTCGCTTTGGTACTGGCGGAGAGGGACGACTCCGGGGAGACGGCGGCCGCACCTCTCTTTGGCGTGCCGGGCGCGGACTCCCAGACGAACGGCACGGCGCCGGCGCGCAGGCTGTAGTACACCCTGAAGGACGCGTTGGTCACGCTCGACCGCTCACTCACCGACGCCGCCCTGCCGTCGCCGCCGCAGCCTCCGTCAGTGGAGCTCGGCCGGAGCGCCGGCTGCTGCTTCGAGCCCATTTCTACCTGCTACGATCGCTCTGCTGGAGAGAGAGAGAGAGAGGCCGGCCTCCCTGTGTCCTTTTATAAGTAGCGAGATTCTGAACTGGAGCTTTTTTTTTTTGTTGACACTTGAGCTGCTGGAAGAAAGGATCCTGCATCAGGACAATTGATTGGAAAGAATTAGGTTTAACAATGAGACAGTGACAAGTGTGAGCCGGAACAATGGCTGACAACAAGCCCGTATCCACTAACAACGACCAGCCGCTGACGCCGCACCGTCAGATTGGCATCGACAAGAAATTCCTCCAATCCTGCTCAGCTTGTTTCCTGAAGCTTTATTGCTTAACCACCACGATTTGCTGCTCCGATTCTGTTTAGCACTGTAGCACTTACTTCCTGACAACGCCGCCTCACCTAGAGGACAGCAAATGGAGATGGAAAGCCTGCTGGTTTCGGCTATCAACAGAGGACGTGTTTAATTTCGGGTTACCATCCTTAAAACGATGGATCGATGGAAAGAGACAGATGAATCACCCAACTGGAACAAGTGAAAGCCACCCGGCCCGGGCCAAGTCGTAAAGAGCAGGAATTTGTACGTAGCAGCTGGCCCGAAGCTTTTGTCCGACGCTGAACATGCTGCCCGTGCCATGGATCGTTCTGCTCGGAGTGGCAAAAGAGGTAGGTAGGTGCCATCTCTCGTGCACTTGACTACGTCCTCGCATTGTCGTCGTTTGTCAATGCTGCAGCGTGTTAGGTTATCTAACCTTAATTACCATTTGATTGATTGCTTAAAGTCATGGTTAAGTTAAGCAGGGAGCCTCCCAACTCCAAGTCAGAAATCAACGTCCACCAAACCTGATCCTTTACTGGAACATAAACATCACCAAAATTAAACGATGAAATAATTAAAATTTTATTGTTCGATTGTAATTTTAAAATATTTTTAAATGTGGAGAAAAGATCGTTTGGGCTGCACACTAATAGTACAGTGCACTAACCCATAAAATGGCAGATATACACAACACGGCCCCTCAATTTTGTACTGAGTAAATTGCAAAAAAACATCACTTTGAAGGTTAGCTTTGCGAAAAACACTACAATACATTTTTTTTTTCAAAAAACACCATGTCTTCAGTAATGTTTTTGCAAAAAAACACTGATCGGCGGATATGGCTCGTTTAAGTGCGTTTATGACAGATGGGGTCCCCTAAATTTTTGTCCCTGCTTCCCAGACCCATCCCGACCACGGCGGAAACCACCCGTCCCACGCCCGCCCCCATCCCGATCCAGGCAGAGGCCCCCGTCGCCGTTCCTGCACCGAGGGCGAGGCACATGACGCCGCCCGTGGTCCGTCCCTCCCTCCCCCATCCGTGCCTCCGCCTCGCCGAGGAGCGGCCTTCCACCATGCATTGGCAAGGGCGAGGCACAGGTCGCCGGAACCATGCGCCGGTGATTTGACGGAGCCGGCGTCCCGCCCCTTCCTCCCCAGGCCGCCGTCATCATGCCCCCAACCGGATTCGGCCACATCGGCCTCCACTGTCCCCGCCAGGCACCGGATCAGGCAGTAGGGGTGGGCTGCTGTTCCTTGACGCTCCGGCGACCGCGACGATGGCCAGCACGTAAGGGAGCGCGACGGGAGCGGCGTCCTCAAGCCACCACCAGAATGCCTCCATGGTCGGGAGGAGCTCGTGGGCCTTACTCGCGACCGTGGCCACGACGAGCGGCCAAAAGCCGACGACGGTGTTCTGCACCCACGGCCGGCGACGACAAATCGAGAAGCGGGGGCTAATTGCGTTTTTCGTTTTTGATTTAGGGGTGTCTATGTAAAATTCTAGGGTCTTGTTTGTAATTTTAGATTAAAATCTACCTGGCACAAAAAGTCATGCCACGTAGGCAAAAAACGGACCCCACCTGTCATAAACTCACTTAACTGAGCCCGATCCGCCGATCAGTGTCTTTTGCAAAAAGATTACCGTAGACGTGGTGTTTTCTGCCAAAAAAATGTATTGTAGTGTTTTTCTCAAACCTAACCTTCAAAGTGATGGTTTCGTGCAATTTACTCATTTTCTACTAGCGAACAACCAATAAATAAGCAGCGGAATAACAAAATAACATGCACACGTGATTTATGTGGAAAAACCTCCTTGAGAGTCGAAATAGGTGCAAGAACCACATGACCAACCTGTCCACTTCATCTCTAGAACAATAACAACAAAATTTTCAACAAGCTGCGAGCTTGACATAAAAAAAAACCCATACCAACTAATAAGAGGCAAGGTAAGCAACTAGTCAAAGATGATATAGTTTATGTCTCGTTCGGTAATCGGTTTTTATCTCACAAACCACGAATCCAAACTGCACAGAATTGGGTAGGCAAGCAGATCCACAAGTTCTCAACAAACTGTCAATCTTTCAGCTTACTGGACACCGTTTTACTACCCAAACCAACTACTACCCAAATTGCTTTGTGCAAAAACTATAGCGTCTCGAGCTGACAAACTCCGTCTCAAATATGATGTTCCACTTCAGCAAGGCTCAAACGAACCAACCAGATCAGGACTAATAGTATAAATGCAGGACGAGCTCACAACAGTCGGTCTCGATCTTAAGCCACAAAATCTAGACATATTCATTTATCTTTCTTCTTCTCCTCTCTAAGGTTGTGGTGTTCTTTTGTGTTGCCCTCCCCTCCCACAATGGCAGTCAGAACAAGGTGTGGGCTGCTAGTTTTTTTTTCCTCTCTTTATCTTTCATTTATTAAGGAGCATCTTAGCCATTGGATATGCTTGAGATGAGACCAACAAGCCACATGTGTTCAACTTATGTGCTACAAATGCTTTGCCAACACACCTCGTGGATGAATTTCGCCCAAAAAACTCCCCCGTTCAACATCGTGGAGGGTGCCGTTGCCTGCAGTCACACCAATGAACATTTTTTTCGAGAATGTTAAAAAAAAATCTGACATCAGATTTTTAATCATGGCAGATCAAATGATTTTATGATAAATTATGTTGTTGCGAGGATGTCAATTTCCTTTAGAAAGCATGACATATCCTGGCCAAAAATTGAACATACCAAAGATTTGTCATGTTTGCTAAAGAAAATTGCCATCCCCACAGCAACATAATTTGTCATCTTGGCATTTGATTTGTCATGCTCAAAAATCTAACGTTTGAATTGTAGCGTAATCCTTTTTTTAAGGAAATCTTACTGGTGGAAAAGCCGCATAATTCAAGTTAGACCTAGTCATTTGTCGGGGTGGACCTTTTTCAGGACAAGCTTTACAAATCCTGACACCAAGTTCTATGCCTAAGCTCACCCTGGTTTAGCTCAAAAAAAAACAAATATTGTCTTTTCCAATTTGAAAGTATTTTCTTTATTTTTCTCCAAGCTATATAAATGTATTATTATAGCTATATTTATATTGAAATTTTATTTTGAGATATAACAACTACGTATAACACAAAAGATAACTCGGGCTGACAAAAACCATTAATGGCCTCACGACACACTTGAACTTGCAGTTGAAATACTAGGTGTTGAATCTTTTCTTTTTATCTCTCCTTTCCTCCTCCCTAAGAAGCTACTCCTAGGAGACTAGGGTTTCTCCTCCTCCCATCGATGCCACCAATGGTCCATCACGCCTCTGATGGCCTTTGGGCCATGGATGTGTGGAGGACCCCCACCCTCGCTAGGGGAGGGACCCTGCTCTCGTTCTTGTTTCGTTTAGCGTCTCGGTTGGGGATGTGTGATGGCGGTGATGTCCCTTAGTAGGAATACTGTCTCCCATGTCCCATCCCTGGCCCAATGGTGTGTCTAGAGTCATTGAAGGGCGTGTGATGGCGTGTCTCCGTGACATCTTGTGGAATTCGATGGGTGTTGTTCTTTCGTGGATCTATTTGATCCATTCTTCATTCGTCCTCGGTCTTGTGTCTACTGGTTTGATTCTTTTGATTTACGCTTCTCTTCATCGGCGGTGATTATTGTTATGGTGCGTTGGTCCTATGAGGCCTTTGCATGATGATTTTTTGACTGTCTATTACAACAACATTTTCCGACTCCGGTGAAAGAGGGATGATGACGACGATGTGCCTTTGACTCACTCCGGTGTTTATAGTTGTCGCTAGGTGATCTACTGATCCGATTGTAACTTTTGTTCTTCTAATATTCTCTGTATTCCAGATAATAAATACATTTGAAGTTTCTTCATTTTTTCTTGTCCAATAATTTTTTTTGTAGTATTAGACAACCTGTGATCCCAAAAATTAAAATGCCACTACAATATTGTCGCCTATAGTTTACACGGAACTGTCAGTAATGTTTGTAACCACCGAGATTGATTCCTGTTATTAAAAAAAGAGATTGATTCCCGAATGTCCAATTCTGCACTCGAGCTCATCTGATATTGATGAACAGTAAAGTAAAAAAATACTAATTTTTTTCAGAAAAAAACTAACTTTTTTGCTGGGAATATGTTTGAGTGCATGTGATCCGTGCCAATTTCTAGCGTGTTTGGAGATCTTAGTAGCTCTCAGAAAAAACTAAACCGGTCCAAACAGTGCATAACCAATAAACTTTTACCAAACCTCAAATTTGTCTTTTTGCTGAAAGTTAATTAGATGTTTAATCACGCTAAAAATTGGCATAGACATCATGCACACAAACATCTTCGCTGCAAAAAAGAAAGTTCAGATTTTTTAAATTTGTCTTCTATTCTTTTTAGGGTGTGGCTAGGTCTCACTCGACTGAGACTAAACAAAGTCTAAGTCAAGTGACATAACATTTAGAAAAAAAAAGAAAAATTAAAAAGAAAATTTTGCACGGATCTCCATATAAGATCCATGAACGTAGCAATCACGTTTTTTATTTACTGTTCACTTGATGTATCATTATGCTTACTATAGATAACTGGTGATACTAGAGCTGTCAACAAGGCATTGTTTGCAGTATGAAGTATGGAATATGAACCATGATCTAAATGCCCGTCGAAAGAGACAATTTCTCTTGAAACTACTGTT